TATGCATCCCGTGCAACGTATGGGTGAAGAATCTAGTAAACAAATATAATAATGAATTTTTAGAAAAGAAATTACCTTAAATAAGAGTAAAACGTTTGAGAGTTCCACAATAAGAGTACTATTTTTTTATCTCTGGAAATATGTTTTTATATTGCTATGTTCAAAGCTTAATAATGCTAAAACATGGAGTAGATTTTCACGATGATAGTAACATATTTATATTTAAAAAATATAGAAGTCTTATTTTGAAATTCATAAAATTATTTTTAATCTTTTAGGAATTTCCCCCCTTTTAGAATTATTTGATTTTAAGTATGGCCACAAGTTTCTTGATCGTCAGTCAACGTTTTTTTAAGAATGCACCTAAAAGAGATTTCTTTTTTTCAAAGTACCCTCATAAGGTTTATTATTATTAGGGTTACCCTTCACAAATCAAACTTTTTATTCTCTTCCCATGGATGCCCTCCTCCTCCTAGCGCATATCCTCATTGAAGCATTCAAACAAGCTATGCATTGAACTTCATTGGAACACGTTCGAACCTTCCTCCTTGTGTAACACTCCGCCCCTTAGGGCTTGAGGTAGTTACTCCTACACACCCTCCAGACCTCTAGTACTGTCCTCACAAACCTCCACTAGCCTTTAACGCGCACTTTGTACTCACTCATGCACGCCCTGAGATCCTTCTCAGGGGGTCACCCATCCCTAGACCGCTCCCGTGTAAGCACGCTTAACTTTGGAGTTCTTGGATGATGAGCTTCTTTAAAAGGAGGTGCATCTTTGTTGGTATGAGTAGTACTATTAATCTTCTTAAATTAATCTCGGGTATTACAATCACCCCCATTTAGGATCGCAACGTCTTCGTTGCGCCCTTAAACCAATCTCAATCAAACCCCATAATCTTGCCCCGCTAATGCCCGCCCGATATCCAACGGGTCAACACAGTGTCGCAGGGTTGCTTTGATATCACCTATAACAACCCGGCCCCCACAGGACCCGAGATAGTCAATCCTACCCATCCTCCGGACCTCTAGTACTGTCCTCACAAACCTTCACTAACCTTTAATGCGCACTTTGTCCTCACTCATGCGCGCCCTGAGAAACTTCTCAGGAGGTCACCCATCCCCAGACTACTCTCGTGCAAGCACACTTAACTTTGGAGTTCTTGGGCGATGAGCTCCCTTAAAAGGAGATGCACCTCTGTTGATGTGAGTAGTACTATTAATCGTCTTAAATTAATCTCGGGTATTACACCTTGAGTTCAACGTAACTCACCAATCAACAACATCTTCTTCTTTAACATTTCCATTGTTCACATTCTCCCTTCCAGATAAATTAAAGCATCTTTAGGTATTTATTCAACAAATTTACTTAATATAAAAGCTTTGTTGATAAAAATGGATAACCCTTAACGTGGTTTTTTGAAAACAATGGATCACGATTGTACTTCGTGCGCCTTAGTTGGGCATATTTGATAGGTTCTACCATGGTTGACTAGGTTTGACCGAGTTTGACCATGTTTGAACATTCAAATAGGTTTGACCGCTTCTTGGTTGGCCATGTTTGAATGGTCCGACCATGGGTGACTTGGTTTGATCGGATTTGACCGTGTTCGAACAATTTTTGTAGGTTTGACGACTACTTTGATTATGATCAATAATTCAATATTCTTTACACACACATGGCTACATGTTCGACCCGGTTGATGTATGTTGTTTATGATGGGGGAGGGGAATGGAAAAAACATGAGAGTGGAGACTACACGTTTGAAGGAGATAATAAATGCTGCTTTCGATTGGGATGCATCCAATACATACTTTGATTCATTTTTGGATTGCTTCTATTAGGAATCTGGTTATAAAAGGGGTACTCATTGTTGAAAGAATCATTTCAAATGTTGGCTTGGCAAAACTATTTCACCTTATACATTGGATAGTAGAAAAGCACTTTATGTATTTCTTAGAGACAAAGAAAGATTACAATCTGTTCCAACCAAAACTGGCTTTGGGGGCCAGGCACCTAGGCAATGGCCCAGGGCACCAAATTTAAGGTGGGCCCCAATGTTTTTAAAAAGTCCTATATATTAATATTATGAATATATTAATACGAAGTAGATGACAATCCAACTTCCAATACATGTGGTGGCCAAAAAGTCAAAACTACAAAAAGTAATACGGAGTAAATAATTGAATATGTCAGCAAGGCTACCGGCCGGATGGCCTAATAGGAAATTAAGAAATTAGGAATAATCAATGGAGTACTTTATTACCCTAGTCTGTAAAACCTAATTTCCATCGCCATATGAGTATGAAAATTATTCAAAAAAATGCGGAGGCAAAAGGATCAAGGAACCGAGAGACGAGACTACGAGAGTATTTACTAATGTCCAGCGACGATTCTGCCAACAATATGTTGTCTACAATCCAAGTTTATCCAATGATTTCAAATTTCAGCATTGGGTAATTCGTGATACTCCATATTTTATATTTGATTCTTTGAACCTTTGATTTCTTCTGCAATCCGTATTACCACATACAAATTGAAATTTGTAAACTCCGTATTTTATATTTGATTCTTTGAACCTTTGATTTCTTCTGCAATCCGTATTACCACATTCAAATTGAAATTTGTAAACGAGTTATTCTATAAGACTACATCCAATTTCTTAATTATTACTCCCTCCGTTTCTAAAAGAAACTCACACTTTCCTTTTTGAGATGTTTCAAAAACAAAGTCACACTTCCCTTATTTCCTTATTTGGCAAAGAAATCTACTTCCAAACAGTGCGAAACAGTGCCAAACAGTGTCCAAACAGTGTCAAACAGTGTAAAGAGTGTTTTCTAATGTTTTCTAATTTCTACAGTAAAGTCAATTTATTTCCTTAATAACCGTGAAGTCAAACCGTGACTTTCTTTTGGAAACAGAGGGAGTATTTGTTAATTGTATTAAACTTGAAACTACGTGTTATATGTTTTTTCTATGAAGTTATTCATTCATCAAACTTAATTTAAAACTCGTTCTTTTTAAATGGTATAAAGTATTTACTAACTTGTAATATAACTAATTAGCACAAAATTATTATTTTGTACTAGTAGTATTAACTATGACGGCGAAACAGAAAACAAGAGTCAAGGGTGTCAAAGAGAAAACTTAATAAAAGATTAGATGAAGTAATACAATATTATTCGGGTTCAATAGATAGGTATGTAAAAGATGTTGTTATAATGGTGAAGTGTTACCTTTTACATTTTACATTTAGTAAAAAAAGGTGTTATAATTTTCTAATTTACTTCATATTTTCTATTATTCATTATTTTAAATACTGTTTGACCTCATTAGTCATTCCAGTGGCGGATCCAGGATAAAACTTTATTAGGAGCAGAGTAATTAAAAAATGCATTAGACCAAAATTATCAAAGTACATATTAATGTTATATTACAGTATCAAAAGATTTAATAAATTATATCCCAATTGTTCGCGTCAAGTTTTCATTTATTTTGTAATGTACAGTTTTAATTACATCACCTCGATAAAACAAATTAGAAGATCACTCGAAAAGTTATCACCAATCTATTATACAAATTGGTTTTTACTATGTCATAACGGAGAAGCATCTTGTGATATACGACTGTTGTGACAACCGACAAAGTCAATATTATCTTTAAAATCTGATACACTAAAGGGTGTGAAATATGCTTCCTTGTGATCATCAAAGCTTTTCAAGCTTAATCTGGGAGCATAGTGTAAATATAAATACTTGCTTGATGCTAAAGAGTTCATTTTTTCACACAACTAGAGTCACTTGGATAAAGCTCAACCAAATAACATACGAAGTATTATTTACATTTAGGATTTTTACTCATGAAAGGAATCGGTCGACACAATCGAACAATAGTTCATTTTATTTAACTATCTAACATAACATATTATATACATTTAGGATTTGTAACTTACTAAATGACATTTTCTATTTTCTATTTTTCTGACAGTGTAAAATATTATACTCTAATAAATGTATAACTATTTCAGTAAGTTGTCAATTAATTTAAATCTAATTGATATAAATCAATAATCCTATAATAAATTAATAGGGTTTTCCTTAAATATTACCAATAAAAAAGTCACGGACAAAAATATTACTCCGCATGTAGTATTTATTAGTAACTATAATTGTGTTCAAAGTCTACATCATAGTAACATACTTGTAATTACTACGATGTAAATTTAAACAAAATATTCACTAATAGTTACTGAGTGGTATTTTCGTCCACCATATTTTAAAGAGTAATATTAATGCCATTTTTCATAAATTAATAACATTATAATACGTTTAATAACATTATAATTTAACACTTATATTTATACAAAAACAAAAACTAGTCTATGGCCTTAAACAAATAAACAACACAATCACACATACGGATTACCTATTAGAACATATTGCTTCGAATTATAAACAAGTAAATAAGCCATCAGACCAACATTCAAAGTAAACTTGATAAAATATTTCAAAATAAAGCCAAAACCATAACATATGTGCGGCGGCCAATTTCTTCACGGTCTTCATTTGGGGGCACGATCCCTGTTTAATTTATAGGGGGATCCAATTTTTTTGGTTGGTGGCAAGTTCTTAGACTTCTAATTTTTAGTAAGACGTTGCTAGTATATTATTGGTTTAGTGGATGGTTATCGGGGGCACCTGCCCCTGTAACCTTAGTAGATCTGCCTCTGAGTCATTTTTGTCTGTGGCATCAAAAGTCCTAGAGACGGCCTTGATTCCAACCCCCTTCCTACCCGGTGATCTACGACTTGAAATGCTCCTCTATTGACAATTGTGTTGATCTTTAACATACGGAGTATTTCTTATCGAAGGGCATTTTAATCTTTTTATACGGAATTGAGATTGCAAATATAAACGGGATGTAAAATGTAATGTGAACCATGAAATTGGGTGCAATTAGCTCGTGCGAGAAACTTAAATTAAAATGGAGTAGAAGCTAGAAACAAAGATAAAATTTCCTCCGCCACTGAACCATTCGTTTTTCCGTTTTGGCCGGAAAAAACACGGCGCAACTTCGGGGAGACTGAAATCCAAAAGCGGAAGCACATGCGTCTGGGGAGCGCGTCTTTTGTATTAAATCCATATATATTATGAACACGCTCTTCGTTCCTCACTTCCGCTGTCTTTCTTGTCATTTCTGCCCAAGAATTATCCGCCGCGAGAGAACAACTGAAAGGCCGATCTTCGCTTCTTCAATCTCTATCACCGGCACCTCCCCCTCCTACATAAAATTCAGCTTGGACGATGAGCAAAAACACGAAGAAGAAGAAGAAGGATCCGACATCCCTTCACTCCCGTATCGCAATTACGACTTCACTCCCCTAATCGAATTTCTCCAGTCCTATACTCTCACGGACTCCAACTCACTTGAGTTTCCACCCGCTCGTCTCGACCCGTTTGAGTTAAAGCTGGCCGAGTCGTACCGAGCTGTCCCCGGTCCACTCTGGCACAACCTTCTCAAGTCGCTCACCTCCATGCCCGATTCCGTTTCCACTGCCTATGCCCTCGTGACTTGGCTACAGAAGCACAACCTTTGTTTCTCGCATGAGCTTCTCTACTCCATTTTAATTCACGCGCTGGGGAGATCCGAGAAGCTCTACGAAGCCTTCTTGCTCTCTCAGCGACAAACACTGACCCCTATGACCTATAACGCTCTCATAGGCGCCTGTGCTCGCAACAATGAAATCGAAAAAGCTCTGGACCTGCTTGCAAGAATGCGCGGTGACGGTTATCACTCGGACTTCCTGAATTACAGTTTGATTATTCAGTCACTTACCAGGAGCAACACCATTGATTGCGCTCTGCTAGAGAAGTTTTATGAGGAAATGGAGGCTGATAAGATCGAGCTTGATGCTCAGTTGATGAATGACATAACAATAGGGTTTTCCAAGGCCGGAAATGTTGACCGGGCTTTGGATTTCCTGGCATTGATTCAAGCAAACGGCTTGAGCCCGAAAAGAGCTACTATTCTTACTGTAATATCAGAGTTGGGGAATGCCGGCAGGGCAGATGAAGCTGAAGCTGTCTTTGAGGAGTTGAAGGAAGGCGGGTTAAGGTCAAGATTGAGGGCATACAATGCCCTATTGAAAGGTTATGTCAAATCTGGCTCTTTAAATGATGCAATGGATGTTGTGTCTAAAATGTATAAAATCGGGGTTTCACCAGATGAGTATACATACAGTCTACTCATTGATGCTTATTCAAATGCGGGCAGATGGGAGAATGTATGGGTCGTGTTAAAGGAAATGAAAACAAATGATGTGAAACCTAACTCGCTTGTCTTTGGTAGGATATTGGCAGGTTATTGTGACCGGGGAGAGTGGCCGATATCTGTTGAGGTTCTCAAGGAAATGAAAAAGCTCGGGGCTGAACCCGACACCCATTTCTATAATGTTATGATCAACATGTTTGGCAAGTATAATCGTCTTGCCCATGCAATGGAAGCTTTTGAAAGTATGAAAACAGAGGGAATTGAGGCAGATACAGTGACATGGAACACACTCATAGATTGCCATTGCAGACATGGCCACCATAACAAAGCAGAGGAGCTGTTTGAAGAAATGCAGCGAATGGGCTGTTTGCCTTGCACTGCAACATACAATATAATGATCAATGCTTTTGGACAGCAGGGGAGGTGGGGAAAAGTGAAGGATATACTGGGGAAAATGCAGAGCAGTGGTGTACTGGCTAATGTAGTTACATACACCACACTGGTTGATATTTATGGACGGTCAGGGAGGTTTAACGATGCAATTGAGTGCTTGAAATTGATGAAATCTGCTGGGTTGAAGCCATCCTCAACCATGTATAATGCATTAATTAATGCTTATGCACAGATGGTAATTTTATCTTTGAATCAGCAGCATCCCTAATATCACCCCTTTTAAGTTTGACTAATGTTGCTTCTGTGGTATCATGATATAAATATTGGCGATTAGTCTTAGTATGGGTTAAATTATGAGTCCTTGGGGTTAAAAGCTACTGTCTTTTGCTCTGGAAGTATTTATTAGAGTTAATTACCTGAAGTATTTATTAGAGTTAATTACCTATTTAGGACTAAAAGAGGACTAAAATGCACAAATAAGACCAACAATTGAATTTATGTTTCATAGGATTAAAAGCAGCTACATGAACAGAAGTGCCCCCATTCAGTTTTTAATTGAATTTATAACTAAAAATGTAAAATTAAAATTTGACGAAACACTAAAGTTTCAACTGTAGCAGTTCATCCACCCTTGCCATTTCTGCCTGCCGCCTCCCTCGCCGCTGCCGCCTGCCCCGCCTCCCACACTGGTGTCGCCATCCATCGCCGCCAACCGGTGTTGCCATGTGCCGCCGCCACTATCCTTCGAGCACCACCAATGTCAGCATCGAGGCCACTACTTCACCTCCGAGCATTGCCGCCGCCATCACTACATAATCACATAATGACACACCATAGTTTGAAATGATTGTTCAATAACTAAACAAACACGATTTAGAAAATGGAAGCTTAAGGTTGTTTTCTTTTAGATTGAAATTTGCTGGTTTGGTCTGATCATCTGAACTGGTCTGGTCTGGTAAATGTCTGGTCACTGTGTATTTTATAACTACGGAAGTCTGGTTCGATATGGTCTGGTCTGGGACTGAAAACAGTCCCAAAAGAAAACATCATAATTGTATTCATCATGACTTGGAGGTCCCTTTGGAAGAATCTTCACATTTTCTTATCATCATCAACCATTCTATCATCAATATCAAAATACCCCCACTCTTCTTGCTTGAGCTTTCTTTTCTTTGTGTGTTTTCTAGTGGTTCCTCTCCTAAAAGATCGACATCAAGGTCATCCCTAAATGTGTTCGTCACCATCATTTTCATCTATAAAACACTAATCTTTTGATGTCAATTCTTCAATTAACCAATTTTCTTCATTATTGGTTAATGATCCTAATTGAAGGTGTCTATCCTTTAATTTTTTTGTTGTAGACTATATAGATAAAAGTGTTCGTCATGATAGTTGTGAGTGGTCAAGCGATTTCTTCTCTTGGTGTCTACTTAATTGAAAGTACTCCAAGTTTGCTTCAGTTTGATGAATAAGTAAGAAGTTACACTATTATTGCAAAAGTTTGATTCATCTAATAAGAGTAAACCATATTTCCTATACTAAAATGTTTACGTAGTACCTAAAACATGAAATTGAGCAACAACAACGTACAATCCTTAGTCCCAAAAGAGTTTGGGGTTGGCTAACATGAATAGACATATGAAATCAGAGCTAATAAAGAAAAAAAGAAAAACAAGATAGTATAAACAAGATAGGATAAAGATATAAGATAAAAAAATAAAAAGATAAGATGAATCCTCACTTGAAGGAAGAGAATTATCACTTGCTTGGTCCTGTAAGATCTTAGATCCTACTACAATGCACTCCTCAAATTCTTGTTGTGGCAATCTTTTTTTGCAGCTGCTTTGTTCCAATACTCCTGAAATTGTTTCCTAAATCATCGGGCCCTTGTTTACAGGGAGCAACATTTGTCCTAGAACAAGCAAGATGTTTTTTCATTTTTTTAACACCTTCTATGGTAGTTTTTCACAATAGTTACACCATAGGTAAGCATAGTTCTTCTTTCTCCTTAAGTTTCTACTTTAACATCATGCTTCCAAGTTGGGTCTCTTCTGTTTCTAGTAGCTACCATAGAAATACCAAGATCTGCACCACTACTAGCTGTAGCACTAGGATAGTTTTATTTTTAAACTCTCACTGTAATAAATCTTCTACATAATAAGAAGTGTGAAAATTTGACCAACAAAATAGTAGAAAAATACGGCCAAGAAGAGAAGAAGAAGAAAAACATTTGTTTTAGAACAAGCAAGATGTTCTAGACATCTTGCTTGTTTACAGGGAGCAACATTTGTCCTAGAACAAGCAAGATGTTTTTTCATTTTTTTAACACCTTCTATGGTAGTTTTTCACAATAGTTACACCATAGGTAAGCATAGTTCTTCTTTCTCCTTAAGTTTCTACTTTAACATCATGCTTCCAAGTTGGGTCTCTTCTGTTTCTAGTAGCTACCATAGAAATACCAAGATCTGCACCACTACTAGCTGTAGCACTAGGATAGTTTTTTTTAAACTCTCACTGTAATAAATCTTCTACATAATAAGAAGTGTGAAAATTTGACCAACAAAATAGTAGAAAAATACGGCCAAGAAGAGAAGAAGAAGAAAAAAGAGAGGTGAAGAAGTAGAGTAGAGGATGAGGTGGATATGATGGGGAATAAGAAGAAGAGAGGAGAAGAAGAGAAATTACCTGGAAGAAATGTAGCAACTTTTTGCCTTCTTGCAGCATGACATCGAATGTTAATATGATGTCAGAAAGGAATGTTTGATAAATGTTGTCAGAATTGTTATGGTTTAGAAAATATAGGGACTCATTCTTAATGTCCGAGCCTTTTAGAAAAATGACATAATTTAAAATAACTACATATTAATATTATATAATATAGCTATATTATAATACTAATTTTTAAAAAATTGGGCCCCTAATTCTTGTGGGCCCTGTTCCAGATGATCTTTTTGAACATGCTAAAAACGGACCTGATAAAAACCCGCCTAAAAATGCCCTTGAGGCGTGCCTCAAGGTGTGCGCCTCACTCTTTGAGGCATAAACATCTTATCTTGCATAAATGGCGTAAGCCTCAATACCTGTTTTTTGCGCCTTATTGTGAGGTGTGCCTCAAAATACGCCTCTTAAGTGCCTTTTAATATCTTTCTCTCTCTATATATATATATGATTCCGTCAGTCCTTCCGTACAATTTAAGTAAAAAAGGAGTCATATGAACTGCTGATGGTTTATAAGTTTATTGATTGAAATGGGATGGTAAACACGATCAACGGTTCATGTAATTTCTTCATGACTGCAAGGGTTAGTAAGGACTCACTTATTCATTTTCCTACATATATGTGTGTGTGTGTGTTGGACTGCTCAGGTGCGGACATATCTCTATCCGACCCTTTGAACTAGTGCTGCACAAAAATAGGCCCAATTCGCACAACCCAGCCATATCCGGCTATTCTTAGTCAATTATTTGACCTAATAAAATAATTACGGGTTAAATTTCTATAAACCTGCACATAATGGATAGGGTTGTGAAGTAGGAGCCTCAAAGCCGAACTCATCCGACCCGATCAACATAAAGGTATCTACTTTTCGTTGACATCCCCTACAATCTTCATCATTGGAAGTTGGAAGTATTTTCCTTTTTTATTTTCCTATAACTTTGCTATAATGTTTTGTTAGATCGTTTCTTGTTTAAGACTGTTATGCTCTACTTAAAAAAATAGAGTTATAATATTACCATTTTGTTTAGTTTATTTATTACTTTTGCTTTTAAAGGAACTTCTTTTTGTTGTTTAAGACTGTTATGCTCTACTTAAAAAAATAGAAGGAAGATTTGATGTTGTTACACAATGTTTAGACAAAAAAAAAATCTTTTTGTGCATTCAGTATGCAATCTTGGATTTCAGTGATAGGTTGCTCGAGCCTAAATTTGACTGCATTAGTGGGTCATATTAAAGCCCCAATCGGGAGTGATTTATTTTTTCTATACCCTCCCCCACTCGATCCATTCATATATGGGTTATCCATTTAAATTGCATACATGCGGGTTGTTTTTGCGGTTAACCGGAGTCAAGTGGGTAGGCCCAAAAAGTATAGCCAACCTTTCTGATTTGCTGCTCTACTTTGAACCTTTGAACAAAAATGCCATATATTGTAATACAAATCAATGGCCATCTAGGATCTGAAGGTCCACTGACAATTTTCCGTAAGGTAGTAATACTCTTTAGCTATATATAAAGGCTCCATGTTGAATCAACATGATGGTAACTGCTTTAATTAGGCTGTTTATTGTGTGAGTACAATGTCAGCTAATTAAAGTTTGTCAGCACGGTACCGAATTGACATGGAAGTCATCATATGTATGTGCGCACGCTCACACACATATTAATTTACATAGTTCGTTTGGTAGCCATGTTTATTTATTTGGCAGGAGTGAGTTTTACTAGAAGCCTTTTGGTTTAGAAACTTGAATAGATTCAACCACTTTGGCTAAATAACTGTTGGGAAACGGGTTCTTAGTATGTATGGATATGTGTTTGCTTGCACATGGTGATGCTATTTACAATTGAAAGCTACATCTAGTGCCTATTGGTTCCGCAATTTTTTGGTTTTACTTTTTTACTGAACACTAACTGATTTCACTGCACTGGATGGATCAGTTGATAATGAAAAAAGCAGTGCAAAAGTTACTTTATAATCGAAATGATTAAATTCAATGAAAATTACTCCATCATTCCTTTTTACATATTATCATGTTTAATGTATTTTAATAATACGTTTTTGAATATAGAATGGGTAGTTCAACGGATTTAGCATTCACCATTTTGTAACCACAGGTTCAGTAGATTTTGGCACTTCAATCATTGTAGACCTCACCAAACAGACTCCTAGACTGCGTGAATAACTTTTTTTTTGGGCTCTAACATTGTTAAGTCTGGCGTATGTTTTTTTATTTATTTGATAGGGATTTTCAGAGCATGCAGTAAATGCCTTCAGAAATATGAAAGCTGATGGTCTGAGGCCCAGTTTATTGTCTCTCAATTCTTTAATTAATGCGTTTGGTGAGGATAGAAGAGATGCAGAAGCTTTTGCTGTTTTGAGGTACATGAAAGAAAAGGTGATAAAGATATGAAGTGGTGAATAATATTTCATCTTCTACTTCTTCCCCTCTTTTACCCATCTCTCTTTGTTTGTAATGAACTGGTGGCTCTATAATATATCTGATTTGCCTCCCAAATATTTATAATCACAGGACATAAAGCCCGATGTTATTACCTATACTACTCTGATGAAAGTTTTGATCCGTGTGGAGAAATTTGGAAAGGTAAACAGTATGTACGTGTGATACTTCACACTTTCTATTGTTGCTAGTTTCTTTACCTGACTAGGCTGTGTTAAGGTTTCTGTTATGACTTATGAGTCTGTTTGGGTCTTTGTCCAAACTCTAAAGTCTAGGACTTGTTGCATTTAAATGACACTTCATCCTCAATCATTTCACTATTAGAAGGATATTGAATCGTATGATATCATATTACCTATCTTCATCACTTAGCTGATGAAATGTGGATGGTCTAGTGTCGTGAGTCGCTTCATTGACGGCAACTGCTTCTTTTACAACATCTTAATTTTCAATTCCATTTTCCTTTGTGCCCTCATCAATTCATCCATTGCAGTTCTCAATGTCATCTAGACATATTTTCATTTTCTTAAAAACTGGATTTGGAGATGTTGGTTCTGAGCATAGTCGCATGAATAGCAGTACATTCTGGTACGCGGTACAGAAACGCGGATCTCTAATATTAGAAATTCGATACGCGGAGGGGTAGGCTTCTTCGGTATGCTATTTCGGTATGCAGTACGCTGTACCATTTATTATGGTACGGTATACCATAAACATATACTAGTACAATTTACCAAGTATAAATGTAATAAATATAATATTAAACAACAAGTACGGAGTCTTGAACAAATAAAACGAAGTCTGGAAGTGCAAAGCGCTGGGCTCGTTAAATAAGTACAAAGTTTGAACTGTGGAATTAAGTACGAAAGTGTTGAACAAATAAAACGTCTCTCTGGAGCCTGGAAGTAAGTACGAAAGTCAAGAAAGGTTGTTTATATTTCAGAGGTATGAATAGGAAAGAGTCAGGATCGTTGTTTAGAAATTGTTGTTGGAAAATCGAAGTTGTGTCGCTTGGACTGCTGGGTCGTCGCCTGCTGGGGGAAACTCGTGAATGATGAATGGGATACGGCGAACCACCTGCAAGTGAAGCGTGAACTGCAATCAAAATCCGCCGTACCAGAGTCGCGACCCAGAAGCAACCGGCATGCAACTGTACCATGATCCGGTACGCGCGATCCGGAATGCAAAGCGCGGCCTCAGCGATTTCTGCATCTATGGTTCTGAGTGTACTCTAGATCTTTCAATTTTTTGGCATCAATTTTATCCTTTTCTTGCCGTCGACCTCATATTAATTGATGTTATTTTAGTTATTTTTTGAATGTAAGGGGGTGTTTGGATCTGCTTCTTAGAACTGCTTCCGATCCTTCAGCAATCAGAATCAGATATTGGACTGTTTGCGTGGAAATGCAGAAGTACTTCTAACTTCTAAGTGCTCCAAATCACTCCTAGAAGCAGTTTTCTAGAAGCGGGAGGAGACCAATTTTTGAAAAACTAATAATTACCTATGTTTTAACCAACAAAATCACCTATGTTTTAACCAACAAAATCAGCATAATTACAAAAGTCTCATTATTATAATAAGACAATCAGCATAATTACAAAAGTCTCATTATTATAATAAGACAAACTGCCCACTCTACACTCAACATAACCTGAAAGTCCCCTCACCCCTTGATTAGACATAGAAACCAATTGCCATAAATAGAGCTGATCAATTGGTTAACTATGCAAGAGTTTTGAAGATAAAGTTAGCTCTAGGTGCCTTAATACTTACCACATTTTCCAACACAAGTTCCAACACAAGAAATAAACTAAAAAATAAAAATACTAGAATTAAATCTAACCCAGCATAACACTATTTGTCAAGCTCTGTTGGTAAATATAATTTCCAGAATAGTCCCTCTGGTGGCCAATCGGCTTTTGGTCCATTGACAGTCAACGGTCTGCAACCCTAAGAATTTTGGCGAGTCGGTGCAACCTGACCTGCCATTTTTACATTTTTGCCCCCCTTTTGCCGAATTTGACCAGACCTCTCTGTTCATTCATCAACAGCAACTCAGCAAGAATTTGACCTGGCCTTTCCATATCTCTATCACTGTCTCTCTCATCGCTACGCACATCTGCCGCCTTCACTGATGATAAAGGCAAAAAGGCTCACTGTCAAGAAATCTTGACCCTTCCACGTAGAAGCTTTTGGAAGGCACTACCGCTTCTTTGACTAGTTAACCACTTATACGTAATATGCCTTGGCCGAGAATTTACATTTTCAAAGACACTCCATTTCCGTTCACATCCGGAAGCACTACATTTGTCACCAATCAAGTGATCAACTACATTTGTCAAATTCCACAAAACAAACTAGATTTCATTCTGATTTTGAAAAATCAGCCTATTGTTTCAATAAATCTGAATAAGAAATACACTTTCAGAATTGTATTTGTGACATCTTAATTTGAAAACCACCTGTTGTACTTGTGTAGTTTGAAATCTTGTTTGAAAACTCTACACTTTCACCAATGTTTGTGGGTAGCATCTTTTCCATACTTCGTTAATCTATCAGATATTTTTGTATCCAAGAATTTGCTGGTGAATTAGGATGAAGAATTGCGGAGTAAGATAATATCATGTCGCATGTGATGGAGAATGAAGGTTCTCGTCCCAAACGCTTATTGATAATTTTCCAGAGGCTTGTATTTTTCTTTTCTCCCTCCAAATGTGTTCTTAATTTCAAGTGTGCTCTCTTTTTAACTTCATAGATAAAACCAATGTGAGGCAAATATTCATCCACAATTCGTAATACCTTCCAATCTCATCTCAAAAGCAACACTTCTCCAATATGTTTGGCGATAAACTTCATCACAACATCTTTTCCTTCAATTGTTTGACGAACTCACTTCCGTACCATTTTGGTGAAGCAAACATTTGTTTCAACTTTCAAGACGTGTTTTTGAGTGAGAGACCTTAAAGAGTCAAGAAGTTAGTTGCAAATCTAGTCACGGCCAGATTCACTACTGTTTCCTGTTGGTGAATTCTGTCTTCAAGTCCAAAACAAGAATGTATTGTATACGTAGGTAGTAATCTTCTTTACTGTTTCTGCATCTATTAGAATCTTCCAAATCTTCTAGTCTTCTAGAATAAGGTCAAAATCCCATCTGGTGATCTTCTAATCCCACCTTTACTTACATGCCCAATTGCCCACAGAGGTTGCATTTCGTATCATCATTTTCCTGATCCCAGGAAAAGTTGGTTGACATCCTGTCTTATTTGTAGTATATATAGAGAGTACAAGTCAATATTCAATAGTTATTTCACTGTGTAATGGAAAGCAGCAAATAAACTACATAATGCAAGTACAAGATAAAGGAAAACATATGCACTGCAAACTATTAGTTAATTATACTTAATATTTTATAAACCATTATGAAATAGTCAAATAGTTAATAATGATTGTAAGCCTTAAATAGTCAGGTATCTTAGCATTTAACTTATTCATTGGCACTATAAAAGTTCATTTCACCGTCTCACTGACCCCAACACGCGGGACTCGGGATTAAGGTGATAAAGGGTGCATTTTCTGTCTCTTCACAATGTAGTAGTTATTGAAAAATATGTATTTATGTAGAGAAATAATAAGGAATACACAGATACATGACATTAGATACATTCTTGCACTTATTCTGGACCATTAACATTTTTTAAGCATGTAATACTAGTATCTAAACATAAATTACAGTGACAATCATAAAACTAACAATCTAACATACTAAGATACATATGACTAACATATCTAGTTATATTGATTTAAAACTAACTGGTTTTTTAAAACTAACTTCTTAAGTTCTAAGATTTAAAAATAACTTTTAATATTATAATTTATACATATCTAGTTATGTAAAATCGAAGTATCTAATGTAATGATATAATAATATTAATATCGGACCATCTAATATAATTATAATACTCCCACCGTTCCTAAAAATTCTTCCCGGTTTGACTTGGCACGCTTATTAAGAAAGTGGAATAAAGTGGAAATGTATGGTTGTGGTTGTGTAAGAAAAAGGTAAAATGAATGTGAGCCACACAAATCGTCCAAAATGGGAAAGTGGGAAGTATTTTTGGGAACAGCCCAAAAAGGAAAGTGGGAAGTATTTTTGGGAACGGAGGGAGTATGAGGTTTTTCTTAGATAAATAAAACTTATGAACCTTGAAAGAGAAGTATGGAGTGATGCTAAAAAAATTCTACGATCAAATGGTATGATTAGAAATCAAACAAGCTGTGGATCGCACCATATTATGGTTATTTGAGGTGTGTATATAACTTGATGGAGGAAAAACATGTAGAGATGACTGCATTTCCTGAAACAGCCTAACAGACTGTATCCTCATGCCAAATTTCATCTACCATTCAAGGCAAGAAAGTGAATTGCTATACTCAAAGCATATTCAGACGCATGTTGTCAGGGCCGGGCCGGTCCTGTCCAGTTTTGGGCCTATGGGCGATATAACATTTTGGCCTTATTTCCAACACAAACAGGAAATTATACTTGAAGTAAAAAATTACGGAGTATAATAAAACTATGCGAAATTACTCTAAATAGGACTAAAAACATGTGTATATTCCAAACAAAGATTATCATGTTTTTATTACCTACATGGCTACATAGAAGTAATTACTGCCATATTTTGACAGTATCATACTTTACACATGGTAGTATTTTTCGAACATGACAATAATTACTCATATTCAGAAAATAAACACATGACAGTCCTTTTTTGGAATTCTCAAAAAGAAATTACTCCTATTTCAAGAATTCTCCCTACAACTATCTAATAAAGGTTATAAAGTAAAGATGAAATTCACCTTCATATTATTTGAAATACATATTTGGACAAAAGTAACAACACAAGTATAAAAAACATTGTGAAGTAAAATCATCAATAATTGCTTTATAATCAATCTTTTCCAAGATCATATGTGCAATAATTGCTTGAGAATTGGGAGGCACTGGCAGTCCAAAGACAATAATATATATTGTTAATTTTGTAATAATAAAGAATAAAGTCTTAAAGGCTAAAAAGATGTGAAGAGACGTGCTTTTATCGATTCAACAACAAATGTGTTGACTGCCAACCAACTCTATTTA